ATGAACTTTCCTTTTAACGGGTGAAAAGCGTAGAGATTTCATTATTTATTGAGAATTTTTTGCTAGCTACTGCTGGTACTGCTACCGTAGACGCCGCCGCCGCCGCCGCCGCTATTACAGCCGCCATTAATGACGCTGCTGCGAGCGCTCTGCGAACTTTTTGTACGCCTCGTAAAATCGGCAGTTCGCGTGATACGTTCCGTTCTTCCTCGTTTTTTTTCGGAGGGGGTAAGGGAGATTCTTTATTTTTAGCTGCCCAGCTCGCTTACGCGTGTGCAGCAGCAGCAGCAGCAGCACCCCCCGCCGCATCCAAAGGGTCGGTTACCGCGCGCGCGGCATATACAGACGCCAAGGGTGCATGCGTGTGTGTGTGCGTCTATATGTATATGTGCTACCCAAGCCGTATAAGCACAGCTACCTCGAGGATTTATCGCAGATTTATTTTTTTTCAGCTTTTCGCGCGCTCCGCGCCGCGCTAACCCGTATACACACACACACACACGTATAGTGCGGAACACCATGCCGCGCGCCACCGGCACGTTCGCCACTCGCTCGGTCGTACGGTATATACGGTACGTGAAATGAAAAATTGGAAAAGTTATAACGGTCGTGCAATTATTTTTTAGATGCCGACGTGACGGATACAAGTTACGACTATAACGATGCGAGCCGACGATGTGCGCGAGACAGTTACGCGCCGGCCTCGGACTATATATCCCCCCATCCTTTTTTTTTTTTTATTTTTTTTACACCTCGATATAATATGTATGACACTGCCGCTGCTCGCGCGTATATACGACCCCGCGCGCGGAGGAGAGTAGCTGCTGCTGGACAGTGTGCGTATTGCGTCCAGGTTATGGCGCGTCGTCGTCTCTCCGACTACGACGACGTGACGGTAAATTTCCATCAAATTTCTATGTAAAAAATGAATAAAAGGAGTTAGCAGCTACGCGTTAACGGCGTACGCGCGGGTTAAATTGTGTACACTTTGCAGCGTAACGCGCGATACTAGCACTCTCTCTCTCAGCTGGCGCTTTTTTTTTATCGCGCGCCCCCCCCGGCGCACACACAAGGGTCTGATTATACTCGTTTATAATTGAATACAAACGACGACGTGCATACGTAAGAGGTCAACGCGCGGCTTAATTAACGGGATCAGCATGACAAATTAGACGGATATGCGTCCGGAAAATATAGAATGCTAAACGAAGATAAATCTCATATTCTGGGCTTACGACGATCTCTCTCTGTCTCTCTCTCTCTCTATTTCTCTGTGTGTGTGCACCGAGTCTATACGTATATATCACGGGCGGTGGTCAAACGACAGAGTTAACTAACTGATGCTTCTGCCACTGCTGCTGCTGCCAGTGCTATATATACCGTCGTCGGTAATCTGTAAACCCAAATCGGCTTTGAATTCATATATAAAGGTACGCGCGCGTTGGATGTCGGGCAAAAGGCGATCCGATTATAATAATTCATCATCTTGGACTATATGGTCGGGATGAAGCGACTGCTCTATACTCGTTCGGGTAGTTGTGTGTGAGTGTGTATCTAGTATATACGAATCTTTTATTCTTTCCCGATGCGTCTCTTATTGCTCGCTCGGATGAAGTAGTTCGTCCATTTGTGCATGAGACGTACGTCGTACGTATATATAGAAAAGAAAAATCGAACACGACGAGGCGAAATGTGCGCGCAAATGGTATACAACTCCGAAGTTGTTCTCTCTCTCTCTCTCGATTTGAATTATTCAGCTTTCAAGTCGAGTTACATCATTGAGCGCGATGTCCGGCGTGGTCCGGTGGCACACAGCAGCACCACCCCGCGCGCACCGGTATCCGCTCTCTCGTCTGCATAAATGCAAGGATCGAGCGAGAGACTTTATTCCCTTAGCGCAACGAGAGAGAGAGATGCTATGCGCATACATGCGCGCTATGCAGAGGGACGGACGGAGAGGAAGGGAAGAGAGAGAGAAAGGCCGAATTGACCGAGACGCCGACGTCGAGTATTGTGCATTCTGTATACGATGCATGGTGCTGGAGAGACCCCAGTCGCATCTGCTATGTACACGCACGGACATACACACGTATACCTACATACTTGTATAACGCACGATGCAGGCGCTGTGTTGTACATTATGCCTTAATTGCCAGCTGTATATCAAGCAATTGTCGTCGATTGACGTAGATACACGTTCGACCGAGCCGATGAAATTGATCTCGGGCTACATCGCTTCTTGTGCGCCACTACTCGCCCACGTATGTGTGTACGTGTGTGCACGTGCGTGCACGTAGCGCAGTAACCCCAGTTCGCTCCCTCCCACCCTCCCTTATCCACATACGTACACGTACCCACATATAGCCGTGTGCTATAGCCTCTCAACATTTGCAGTGCATTGGCCGGCGCCGCTGCCGCTGCTGTTCTGTAAATTCCCGATACGGCTTCTACTAAATTATGCAACGAGCAGAGACTCAATGAGACCTCACGTGCATGCAGCAGCGTACAATGGCACCCGGAGACTATGCGAGAATCTATTTTTATCCTTTGTCTAGCTGGTAGTGGCAGTAGTTTTTCCCGTTTATTGTCTCTCGCGCGCGCGCGCCCACTCGTATACTCGTTTTTCCTTAAAGCCAATTTTTTCTCAAAAAACAAAAAAATAATGATGGGTATAAAAAGCTGGGTCGATCGTCCGGAATGCACTTGGGGTGCAGTGCGGATCGCGCGCTCACATTAGCGCTCGTCGCACATCGAGCTATGCACTACTCGGGCGCGTGCTCCGTGTCAGTTCTAATAATATCGGTCTCGCTTCGAGCCTCCACGCGAGAGCTGCACCGCACCCCGAGTGCATATATTTCTCACCGTAAACACATACCTATGTAGCTGCATTATATATAATACACATAGACACAACGTCCGGCTGCTGCTGGATTGACTCGTAACGTCGCTGCATATATAACTAGAAGATACGTGCATATACGGTGCACGAACCCGCGTGTATGTGCCTAGCAATCGAATCAACCTCTTCGTGTGGCTGCTGTTGCTGCAGCTATTTCTCGCGCACACACCCCACTCAACTGCGCATAGGCCTATACACGTATATAGAACCGGCTCAAAGCTATACCGCTACTGCCGCTGCTATACGAGCGCCTTATTTGCATATTTTCGGGGGGAACTCGCGTGCATTTGCATAAATGTGATATCTTCTTCTCTTTAGACCTCGATCAATTTTTTTCTCTCTCTTTTTAAATCGTAGTGTTCGCGCAGCGGAACGAAATGTGACCGAAAAGGACCAATTGATGAGGCATCGATTCCTGGCTTACTACGGTATATGTAAGAGCGCCGTACGATATTTCACGACTACGACGACGAAAGAAAAAAAAAGTCAATTAAAACTCTTTCTCCCAGGCTAACTGCCGATACTTATCCCTGATTCGTCTTAATCTTTTTTATTTCTTCAAGATTCTCTGCACCGAAGCTATATGTATGGTAGCTTTTCACGACTGAATAATGCTGCTCTGCCTTCTCTCTCGTCGCGCAGTCGAGCTTTATCTCTGCAGTCTCTTAATCAAGCTATATGAGCAAATTAAAGTGCCCGATAATCGAGAATCCTCCCAAGTAGTCATTCGGCGACGTTCGATATTCCTAGGCAGAGAGAAGCAGCATCGTAACTCCTTTTCTTTTTCGGTCCTCTTACTTTGCTTATTTTGTGCTCGCGATGTGTAGGCTTCATTATTGAACCTTGCCGTTCGAATAAATAACATTAGGTTTTTTTTTCACTGTAGAATAACAATTTTTTGCTATAAAAACGTAGCCCACTTAGTCGGCATGAAGCAAAAATATCTCGAACTCTTATCTTCCGAGGTATATACTTATTTTTTACTTTAACTTGCACATATTTTTCTTCTCTGCGCGGAGCAAAAAAGAGCAACTCGTCTGCTCGCATCAAAGGGTGTGAAGCAAATGACCGCAATAAAGTTAGCTTTATTTCGTAAGAATACGACGCCGTATATATATCTCTGCGTACGTGTATACTTGTGTATGTGCGCGGGACGTATCGACGTAGCGATGTGTGCGGATGATTTCCTCTTGTCGGTCTCATAATATAGATATATTTTTTTTTATCGTACATCCCGATGATACACATCAGCCGCATCGACTGTGGAGGAGCAAATTTATATCTTGACGCAATCAATCGATCATGCGTTATTGTGTTATATCCCGTAGTTCACACCTTCTGCGACTGCACTGCTTCGAGCTGACGCGCCGACGAATGACGATTCAACCGTGCGCGTACGTGTATACAATTGGCGTTGTAACTTGAATCGAGTCGTATTTACTGTAACGAAAAATTTTAATTTTTATTAAAAGCCAAGTTGAAGCGAGCGGCCCTTAAAAACGAACATTCGAGTCGAAAGTTATTTTGTATAATGCAATACTTTGAAGCAAATAAAAGTAGCAGCAGCAGCAACACGAGCTTTTAATTCCTTAATTGTGTGCGCACCTGTGCGTGTGTGAATATATTTCGCGTTTATTTCCTTTTGCGTAAAAGTGTATGAGCTCTCTCGCGTTAACGAATCATAATTTTCCGGGCTTTTCCGTAGTTAGCTTGCCGTACCATCAGCAGCAGCAGCAGCGGGTCGGTAAAAGTAACCCAAAAAATTTACTTTATAATACACCATCCTGGAAATCATAAATATTTCAATTACAGAAAATTACAATATCACGTAGCACAGTCCCCGCGTCATATAATGAAAGACACGCGCTTATTACTCAACGCGAATAACGCACTTGTGTGTGTGTGTATGTGCGCGCACGCAGGGAGGGAATAATTTGCATATTCTAATATAAATTCCAACGCGCTCGACCTCGCTCATCCCAACGCGACAACAAGAACAACAACAAGAACAACGATACCAACAACAACAACAACAACTATACGAACAATAACAGCTCGCTTTCTCCGAGAGTAATGGTCTAACGCTTTTGTTAATTTGCAGGCCAGATCGACCTCTGGACGCAGAGTCCTTCGGGCTGTCCCTGCAGCTACAACAAGAGCGACACTACGTGCGCCTGCTGCGTGCCGTCGGGCGGCTGCAGCTGCGGCGCCGCCGTGCCCAACAGATGCACCCAGTGCGGACTCGAGCGATACTGCGCCAACAGTGAGTATATATCTATCCACTATCTAGTAGCTGGTACATAATTTATACACCGGGTCTCGTACAAAATCGTTATATAATGACGCTATGTCATTAGGACGGGCGCGTGATATTTTCCGCACCTGATTAGGGCTGCTTGCGAGCTTTCATCGACGATCTGCCTCTCTCTCTCTCTCTCTCTCGTCGAGCTCTTTGTTTCCGCGCGTGTATATAATATACGGCTTGTAATAAGGTGTTATTTCACAACGCGCGAGAATTATAAATTTACCGTTGTTAGCGCGCGCGCGCAGCTCCTGTGCAGCAGAGGAATTCGTTGTAACTTCGTTTGTCTTAATTTCGCCGCTATATTATACACGTCGGAGGCTCTCGAAGTTTTGCCGCTTCCCCCCCGAGCCACCACCACCAGGGCGCGCGTACGTGAGTTCGTGTAGTTCTGTGGTTTCGCAATCAACAAATGTTTTCATTAAGCGCCATCATAATATTCGCTGCCGCTGCTGCTGCTGCTGTTGCTTTCGAAACCCCGCAAGAAACTTGATAATTTTTTTTCTCCTTTTCATTTTTCATTCAGAAAATTACGTTTGAAATTATAAAATCAAGGTAGAAAAATATCTCGTGATCTCATTTTTCTTTCATTCGAAGAAATTTCATTACTCTTCTCTCTTTTCTTTTTGGTAGGAAGCATTAAAAATGTTGTGCTAATCATTGCTTTACGATGTTTCTCGACAGTGTGCAACGTGACTCTCGACAGCCGACAGTTGTTCGACAAATCGGACCGAGGCTTCGGCCAGATAAAGTCGCCGCAGCTGCAAGGACCCACGACGTGCACCTACAGATTCGTCCCGGACACCGGTCAACGCGTCGAGTTGCAGGTCTGGAGGATGATATCCATCGGACGACACAATGGCACTGCGTGAGTAATATATTCTCGATCCTTAAAATATATCTACAGAATTCGAATAATCAGATCCACGCGTTAAAAGGCGTACATAAAGATCAAAAAAGGTTTCCCGACGAGTTGAGATGTGCACGTTGTCGAGCTATTGTTGAACACACTACGATGATCAATTTACGTCGTCACCGTTATAGTGTTGCGCGAGACGCGAAACTTGTGCACTACATTTGCTCCGATACACAACTTACGTCTAATTCTTATCTTGGGCATAGTAAAAGTTTTTTCCTTGACCGGAGCGGATCACGCGAAGAAGAGAGTTGTGTGCCGCCCCCCCCCCCCCGCGCGCGGGCGCGTACTTATACACATCTGCCATGGCAAAAAACGACGAAACATCGTTCCCTTACGTATTGTACTTATATATAAGTACACACGTAGAAGTTTGACGCGTCGTAAAACTTTTTTGCAATTTTTCAAAGAAAAGGCATGTGTGTCGAAAAAAAAGCAAAAAGCAACAAAAAAAAAAAAAAATAGGAGCTCGAGCGTCGTGTATGATCGATACAAGGAAGATTTTTTCTATTTACTTGTAGAGCTGTATTTTTTTCACTTAGCCCTTTCATCGTCGTACTAGCTCTCTGACTTTTCTTGTGCTTCCATCTTTTTGATTCTCCTTTTTTAATCCTAAGCTTTTTCCTTCTTCTGCTTTTTTTTTCTTCATTTTTTTCCGCGCGCGCTCTCTGCTCACTGGGCGAATCCAAACGGGTTTTTTGTTTAATCTTCGTACTGCTGCAGCGGCAGCTTCTTTCTGCCGCGCCGCGAGCTGCAAGCATACACGTACGTACACAGAATAGAAGCGGCTAGCTATACGGTTTTGAAAAGAGAGAAAGCAAGCCAGAGAAATACCTGAAAGTTTGCAAGTACACGGAATTCGTACAGAAGCAGCAGCAGTAGTAGTAGCAACGGCGGCGGCGGCAGCAGAGCAGCTCTCCCTCACATATTGCTGAAAGTTTTCCAATTTCAAGGAGATCTATAAAGTCATGTTAACAAATACGTGTTTCTGGTATTGTAATTTTCTAGTTCGTTCAGAATAAATGTACTTTCCCTCTTTGCTCTTTCTCGTGCAGCTCCTCTCCCGTGAACTGCGCGCAACTTCGTGCTCAAAATATCGCGACGAATCAAATTAAGTGCCAGCCATGAACCAGCCATGAGCCAGCCAGCCACCCTCGCGCGCCCCGCAAAACTAACTCCAGCTCGTCATCGAAGCGCAGTGTCTTGGAAAAAAGGTGATTTACGAAAGCAAAGCCCAGCAGCAGCAGCAGCAGCAGCAATAGCAGAAGCCCCTCCCCGATGTAGAAGTAGGCAAAATTCGAAAAGACACGAGATATACACAAATAGAGATGAGCTCTCTTCGACGAGGATGAGCTCGCGCTGGGAGCTCTCGTACACGTATATATACTCGAGAGCGCTTGGTCGCTTAAGTAATTTAAGTTTATGCGAGTTTAATAAGCTGAGCTAGCTGCGATGCGTGTGTGCGCGCGCTTGGTTTATAAAAGCTCTGCCTTTCTCTGGGACTATATACTTAATATTATAACATATATTGTTCATACGTATACGTTATGAGTAGAAATTGTCAGTGCGCGTCCACTTCAGCATTATAATAATATTGTACACCTGAAATTAATTTATATATTTCTCGGAGAAGTCTCGAAGCTCGCCACTGCAGCGCGAAGCTTGTATTTTTCAAAAACGATTTCTCAAAGAAAACTCTGTCGGTATATTATTTATGGACGGATGTAATATAAATACGTATGCGCGTCGTGCAGCTTCCCATTAGCTCTATTTAATTTGAACTTCAACAGGCTGTACGTGGAGCGCGCGCGCGAAGTAAACGAATGCAGCGCAGCTTATTTGCGTCCTTTCTTCGCCAGATGCCAGAGATGTTAATGAGAATAATATAACTGCCGCGTTGCGTGGGATAGCGTCGGGGCGTACGTATATATACTCGCGAGTCTCTACATATTAAAGCGCGCCTGTACCGCCGCCATGCTTGTGTGTATGTGTGCAATCAAAGGCACAGTGGTACAAGTGTAAGCAAGAGGCAGTTATGACGAGCTTTCTCTCTCGCTCTCGCTCTTGCTCGGCAACGACTCCGATATTATACACGAGAGTTTCGGGTAATCTTGCGAAACCAGAATTTCCGTCTTGATAACAAGCTATCAACAAATTCTGACTCCGTTTTCGTGTTTATACATATACGTATATATATACTGCTGGCGTTCATTACGAGCTTTAATTGAGAGCTTAGAATTGCCAATAACCATTGTAGTAGCCGCGCGCGCGACCGCTTGTGCATTCGCGTATAGTGGCTGCTGCAACTGTGCCACAATCGCACTCGGGGCCTTGTTATTTTAATTGGCTTACAGCGCGGCGCAGCGGTTCGTTCTTTATTATTTTTTATTTTTATTTTACGCGAGTACACACAGCACGAACTTTGAGTGCCACTTGGGGGGCGGGGAAGAAGCTGCGCCTCTGTGTGTACACCCGATTTAACGGTTACAGTAGTCACGGTGTACGTCGAAGCGTTTAAAGACCCTCCCCCCAAAGAAGTGAGCTTGAAACTTGAACTTGTGCACTGATAATTGGTCCAAGTACTCCATTGCGATCGATCGAGTTCTCGAATGCGACGATTTTCATTTTTCCGATACGCTCGCGCGGGGGAGAGAGCAAAATTATACACGTTTGAACATTCGATTTCTTATACCGTGCTGCGAAGCTAATTAATTACGCGACGAGTCGCTCGAGTTCCTGAGGTTCATCACGTTTTTGTATCGAATTTGCAGTGCTTGGATATGCCCGATACTTCATCTGTAACGGATCGATACTGCCAAGTCCCGGTTACTAAAAAGCTCAACCCCGAGAGAGAGAAAAAGAGAGAGATTTTCAACGAGCTCCTAATTGAATTCGTCACCCCCAGCGAAATCGAAATTATCCGAAATGAGTTTTTGTCCCCCGGAATTATAAAGGCGCTGACCTCAGCTCTAATGACGTTGCTGCTGCTGCTGCTGTTGCTCTCGGGGGCGAAATAAAAACACACCACCCAGCAGCGAATCGTATACGCGACTTGTATACGCGGTGTAGTAGTAGTAGTAGCATCAGGAGCAGTGCACAAAATAAATACACACACCCATACGTATATACGTACGTTATGTACGTACGGTTTGTATACGTGTATACAGTTCACACAGGAAGGGGCAGCTGTGTGAGCTGGCATCGTTGATACAGGTCGCTTTGAGTAGTGCAGCTTTTCTGCTCTCTCTCTCTCTCCCGGTCAAATCTCGAATGCCGAGCACGAGTTTTGCCGAGTGGAATAACAGGGCACCTAAGGCGCGCGCGCGCGCAGCAATTAGGTCGACCTCGCGCGCGCAAAAGCTCCCCTTTTCTTTTTCTTTATATAATTCCGCGCGCACCCACCAGATTGTACCGTGTACACGTAGCTATATATGTATATACGGTATAAGCACGGAACGTATGTTAGTATTTCGTGCAGTTTGCGTTTGCGCGCGTCTTTGTACATATACACACACAAGCGTGGTGCGCCGCGCCGCAACGAATAAAATAATCGGATCTCCACCAATAAATGCTACGTAATTGCTCACGAGTCCATAAATAGCTGACCTATTGGTTCTCTCTCGCGCAATATTCTATCGAATTTCAGCGTGTGCATTATATATAGTGGGTATATTCGATTAACAGATGTAACACACATACATACACAGGCCCTATACACGCGTAGGTTAAAAGGTGAAAGAAGGGCTAGTGGAGTAGGAGGAGGAGGGAAAGAGTAAGAGGAGAGAAGGACACACTGCGAGAGCTGACTCGGCAGATTCTGGGGAACAAATGCGGCTTAATGAACGTTTCGCGCACTGTTATAACGAGGTCGCCGTCGTAGCCGCCGCCGCCACCACTGCTGCTGCTGCAACCGTAGTCGTTGTCGATCGACATGGCGTCGTTGGCTATTATATATATCTCTGTCTCTGTCTCTCTCTCTCTCTCTCTAGGGCCGGGGAGTAGCTCATTGAAAACCGAGTCAAACAGTCGATGTTACTATACGTCTCGTTCCCTATCCATTGCCCTACATCTAGTTTGTACACTTTACACAGTATGTTCGCGCAAGGATGAGCGACTTTTCAGCTCTCTCTCTCTCTCGACGAAGCCTGCGATTGCGGCCGCTTGCGGACGAAATCGCATTTGAATCATTTTAACAAGGATGATTCTTCGCTTCTTTCTTTTTGAGGTCGAAAAAACCAACTATTTTTGGCAAACCCCCTTACTTCTAGTGGCTCTTTGTTTTCATGATATAATGAATGACCGTAAGGTGTTGAGGGTGGTAGAAAAAAAAAAGATAACAATATTTTGTTTTGCGTTGACAATTGTCGAGTGCTTTCGCGGCAACACAGTATTTCCACGGTCAAAAGCAAATAGTTTACAAAGCCGATTTTATTTGCGCAATCCTGTGAGCTTTTTCGACGACGTACTTTGCTATTGAAAAAAACCCGATATACTCGACTGATTTATTTTTTTATCGCGATATACCCTTTTTGTTTCGGTGTTGTTGTTTTTTCCATTTTTGTTAGTTTAAAACTGCTAGATTAATTTACTACTGTTATTTAGTAGTACAATAATCTCAACAATTTAAAAAATTTTGAATACTTTAATTAAATGTGTGCTCGGTGCAGACTTTTTCGTGTACCATTCATGCGAGAAATGTTGCTTTTTCATTCTTTCATTTTAAAACTCAAACTTATTAGTGTAGTAAACGAACGAACTCATTTAAAGCTCGAATAGTTGGTGCAAGTAGCAGCAGTAGCATAGTAGTGTCCATTGGGTAAAAAACGCGTGAAATCGATGTATCATAAAAGACGCGCACAAAACATATCCCCATAGTCTCGTAGTAAAGCGCAGCAGCAGTAGCATATAGCAAGTAAGTAAGTGCATCGAATGATAAAAGTTGCCGAGGCGGCGAAAAAGCAGCAGCAGCAGCAGCGCATACGCAGTCAGCACGGCAGCACATATAGTAGTAGCGCAGTGGCGCACGATTGTATTCTTGCGGGTGAGCAAATTTGATTTCACGCTCACCGAATCCTTTGGATCTCTCTCACGGCTCTAGCCTTGTGCCAGTGGTGGAAAACGTAAAAGAAGCGAAATAACATGCATAAATCAGTGCTATGAGCATACACGCGCGCGCACACACACACCCGCCTATATACGTATGTACGCGCGCCCAAAGAGAGAGAGAGAGAGAGAAGTACATACATAAATTGTACGGGCAAGTTTTAATCGCTTCCACCGAGCTGCATCTCGATGATGCCGCGTACGAAGAAGATCTTTTTTTTTCTCTCCCGCTCAGCTCGCTCTCGTTCAGCCTTTGCTCGCAGATCTGTGAAGCTTTAACCCCGTAGCGGTGTATCTAATCGAGAAAATATTTACCCTATAGCTTTGGAGAGGGAGATAAAAAAATAGATGTCAGCATAAAACACCTCGTGAGATTCGCGTGCGCTGCAATATCATTGGCGCGTGCGCGTATAATATTGCTTTTGCATGTACACGAATTCGGAGCAGTGATCTCAAAAGAGAGAGAGGGAGAGAGCTGCACGTAATAAACGATCATCGTCTACGCGCGCAATTAGATAGAAAGCTCAATAAGAAGTCCTATATACACAAACTTCGTGCAGGATAGTAAGGAGAGTAGTCGGTAGAGCATGCAAAACTATCTAAGTTATTATACGCACTTAACTCGGAGTCCGCGCGAAGTAGGAAGGGCAGAGCCAAACAAGCGACAAACCTTCGGCCTGTCTGGCTGAATTGCAGTGCACTGCGCTTCCCTATGCGCGCAGAAGCAAAAAATCGTTTAACGACGTGTCTCGTTGCGTCTGCAGCGCGTTGATTGCGCAAAACATGGTGATTATCCAGTTGTCGCTTTGCTATTTTGTTTATTTGTTTACGCATTTACTTATCTTATTTATTTATAAATGTTTTTTACCCCTATATCGAATCGATTTAACGAGGACGTTTTTTTTCGGGGGGAGACGCCGGTCGAAATCTCTTGAGCATACGAGAAAAGTCCAAATTAAAAGAAGCTCTCTCGTTTTTTATCCAGTTTATTCGAGCGTGTACTCGATGTGTGTGTACCATGGCGCGCGCACACATAAAGCCGCAAGAAAACGAACGAAAAGATCCGTAGCCGAGCGTATAAGCCTCCGCCGCGGTATAACCGTAGCCTGCGACCCATGAGGATTGCGCGCACAGACGTCCTATACGTACACATGCAATGCTAGAGCTGCCTCTCTGAGCGCTGCGCGCGCCCGAGCGATATCGATGCGGTTGATTCGTTATTTGTCTGCGATGGAGTGACGCCTGCGTACACACACGGACGCACTTGCACACACATATAACTCGCACACGTATACACGCAGACAGATATCCGCGCGTACTTGCGAGGCTGCTTTCCGCGCTGGCATTATAGATTATCGATCGCAGATGTCGAGCTATTTTCCATCATTCTCGGAGCTCGTGTGTGTGCATGCGCGTATATGTATTTGCCTTGCGGTTCGCAATCGCGACGCTTGAACTCGTATACTGCAGTAGTTTAACGTCGACATTTTCATATATATGCGTGTGCTGTGTATTTGTAGTCTTTTGACAGGAAGGTGGGCTTGACGCGCGTCTCCGTGCGCATTTCGACGATTTACGGAAAGTGTATGTGTGGGTGTGTGTATACTTTTGTCGAAAATTGCAATTCCGTCATGTTTTTCGGATACGCAATCGTCTCTCTCTCTCTCTTTTCTTCGTGCATGCATACCCACGCAGCAGCGCGTCGTATAAAGACGAAATTTCGCATTTTCGCTGCAGGGCGTTTAAATTTTTCCCTTTTTCTCATCGCAAACGCGCGCGCGCGCATCGAGGGCTCGAGCCAAGTTTTTTTTCTCAAGAGCCAAAGAGAGAGAGAGAGAGAGAGAGAGAGAGAGGCAGAGAGAGGTTAAAACAGCAGAAGCATCGTATAGAAAGGGAAAGAGAGAGAGAGAAACATCAACGACATCGTCGTCGCACGAGTTTACATTTAAATTTACAATTTCGCCGGTGCTAGCTGGCAGTAAATTGATTTGCAGCACGCTCGCTTTTCGTAGCTCTCGCTCGGCGCGCGCGCGCGCCCCGACGTACCATAACGAATACGGCTAGAGAGAGAGAGGAGGACTCGACGAGCTTGGCGCGCGGCAAGGCAAATGCAAAGTAGTACTGGTGCGCGCGAGTATGGGTAGGTACACGTGGGTGTGTGTGTGTGTCGTGAGCATACGCGTGTGCGGGCATGTATGGCATCGTCGTGTCGTGTTGTTGTACTCCAGCATCTCGCGCATACACATGCATACACTCATATTCAGACTCTCTCTGATGGGTAAGTGATTTCCGGTTGAGTGACTGACTCGTTGCAGAAATTCAGGCGGGCGTAGATTTGCTTTTGCCCAATAGCTTATATGCGCGCTGCTCGCGAATTTCGTACGTATTATATACACAGGCCAAAGCGGCGCACTGAACTGCTGCTCTTATGCTTCACGTATGTGTAGTGTGTGTACACATACGGGAGGACTTGTTTTATCGTAACTATAGCGCGCGCGAGGAACGAAATTTGTGGCAAACTCGTGCGTCCATGTTATTCTTTTCTCTCTATACGCTCATATGCACATCGCACACGTTTTTCCGCGATAAGAAATCCTTCGTTCGTGAGTTTTGCAGCCATGTGCACTTCTGTCGTCTGCGCGTATACGTATACGTACGCACCGGCGGCCTCTTGCCGATAATACGAAACTTGGCAGGAAAAGAAAATGGTTATATGTATAATATCTCGAGAGAGAGAGGGAGAAAAAGAGAATGAGAGCTCGAGCTTGCACACAGCTATGTATATAGCGCATACTACTGCACTATGCTACTGCAAGCTCTCTCTCTCTCTCTTGACTCGGGACAGCTAAGAGCACCACGCGGCATTTCGTTTTTAATTTCGCTCTATAGACGTGATAAAAGAATCTCACGTTCTGGCAGTTAGATAGGTGCGAGAGAAAGCACGACGGGGCAAAGAGGCGCGCGCGCTCGCAAGCAGCGCAGTCAGGGACAGTAGTAGCGTGCGACAGAAAAAAAAGAAGAAAAAAAAAACGACGCCTCGAAAAGTAGAAGAGAAGAAGGGAAAATACATGGGCGCAGCTCGCGCCAGATGCGGCAAACGTGAAGCGTGTATAGTAGTATAACGCCCAGCGCGGAATGAGCGAAACGTGCTAAGCGACAACGTCCAGCGCTACGACGACGACGACGACGACGACGACGACGATGCTTCCAATTATATTCGCGTGTTATATAATATATATTATATTGAACGTAGTAGCACGAGAGCCTAGCTAGCTGATGCGTGGTGTGCATGCAACGCAGCGCTGCGATACTCGTACCATAGGTAGCAGCGGAAAGTCTGTACGGTAAACGGAGGCGAGCAATTGTCATATATTTTATTTTATTTTACTCTCGAGGGGTAGTCGTCGTCGTCGTCGTAGCGTGGGTATACTTATACGCGTCGCACACAGCTTAGCGTCTTATTTTTGAACAATTGAATCCAGCAGAGGAAGCAGCAGCAGCAGCTGGATTTGCAGACCTGGCATAAGAAAGAAATGTGCCTTTTTTGGGGGCGCTCGCGCAAGACCGAGAGTTTGCGCCCGATATGATCAGCATGCAGTGCCCGTATACATGCACACCGAATCCCTCAAAATTTGACATAGTGTCTTTGATATTCTTCGCGTGCACTTTCCGACGCCCCGCCGCCGCCTTCGTCTTCCTTTTGCTTTCTTCTTCTTCTTCTTCGTTCTTCTTCGTTCTTTCTTCGGCTTAGTTAGTAAGTTTCTTTTGAAGTCCTTGCCAATCCATAGGCGTGCGGCAAGCACATGCTAATCTTTCGAGCAATTTTTCCGTCTGGAACTTTATACTCTTTTCTTCCCATTCCTCTCTCTCTCTCTCTCTCTCTCTCTCTCTCTCTCTCTCTCTCTCTCTCTCTCTTCGTTCCTCTCATTGGTCTGTCTTTTGAACGTGATGGAAATGTGCCCTTTATTGAGACACTATGCTTTCACCCTGTATATGGGCTAAGCCATAGTTATCGTGATGGTCAAACTATTTTTTTTCTAACATTATGTACTTTTGAAGAGTACATTGAAAAGTGAAAATCCTGAAAGTTTCAGCTCTGTAGGTTGAACCCTATTTGATTTTCAGGGCCAAAAGTTGAATTTTCTTTTTCTGCTGATATTCTGCTTGCAATTCTGCTTTTTTGCGTGAAAAAATTGTTGAACTATGGTTTATAATGTAAAATTTGATGTAGAATTTAAATTCACTATGGCTTAGCCCATATATTTTACCATTATATTTACCACCCGGGTGGAAAGCAGATGAAGAGCCAGGAACCCTTAAGCTCAGTACTAATCTATTTTCGCGCTGAAGCGAAGCTTTTCATATGTATTATTTTTAAAAAAATTCTAATCTTTCAATGAGACATTGTTATTAATTTTTTGCTGTTGTTCTCGTCACAGGTGCGAAGGAGGATGGCTGCAATTCGACGGTGGAGCTCGGATTTGCGGACGCGACTCACGATTACAGCAGCCCATTGTTCTTTTCTCTGACGATCCCGAGCCGGTTTTGCGCATGCAGTGAGTATACACATACACAAACATGAATACAGTAGCTGTTTTTACCGCACGCGCGCGCGCGCGTGTGTGTATCGCCCGTTATACTTTAACCCCATTTTTCATCATTTGCGCTCGAGCTCTTTTTACGTTGCAAAAAAACGTTCGTACATACGAATGGCGCGCTGGTAAACAGATATGTACGGCTCCCGCTCGCGCGCACGTATATATGCAAACGTGTATGCTGGTAACGAAAAAAAAAACAGAAAAAAAGCTAATGAGCTTGCGTAACGATGCCAAAGTCTACTTTCGATTGGGCGAGCGCGCCTGTTTGATGTTTGCGCCGATGCATGAGTTTTACGTTTATAGCGTAATCCTCTCGCTCGTCGTTGCCGCGTATTTACGTAAGACTGCTTGCGCGACGCTAAACATCTCGTTGTGTTTGATCTATTTCCTAGCGCGTGTATACATACACTTTTCAAAGTCGCTGCGCGCGCTTTATAAGTATAAAGCTGAACCCGATCAGCTATAAGTACATATAATAAGCGATTCGAACTTCGAGCTGCACGTGTATTACAGATAAGCTCCAAAGTCGCGGATCAAAAATTCTCGTGCAAGCTGACCGCAAATCGTGTAGGTGCGATATGGTGGCGATCTTAGCGTCGGATGAAAGCGAAATGCTATAACAAAGTCCGAGGTCTGGCTAAGGGATGAAATCGCAGTTTCTCGAGCCTCGCCCGTGGTTTTCGCGCATAAACTAATTACAATGTTGTATCTGGCATAAATCCAACTGAAATAAGTCTAGATAATACAAAAAGAAAAAAATAAGCCTGGCCTCCCTGCTCTGGGACCCAAGCCAAAATCTCCCTTCAAATATATATTGTAAATAAAAGCAGTTGCATTCGTCACATTGTTATACCGTTCACGTGTCTTAGCCATCTTTGCCCGCTCGTCGCGATACTCCTCTTCGTAAATTTTTATCTCTCTCTCTCCTCTTCTTATTTTTCCTTCCCTCGATTCCCTTTTTTCGCCCAAATTCTTTATTGCTTTGCTCGTCGCGCGCCCTCAAGGCTGGGCTGCTGCTGCAGTAGCAGTGCCGAGGCTCATTTGCATTCTTATTAAATTGTCCTGCTAAAATTATGAGGAAACTTTGCGACTAGACACGCAAAAAAGGAAGAGATTCTAGAGACTCTTTATTTTTCCAGCTACCACCGTCCTCCGGCCCGGGGGGGACCGGCTTGCCTTATGCGTGCACACGCGCGCGTAGTGCAGCTGTCTTTTTTAAGCAGTTTTCTAAGCGCGTAGAGTCTTGGCCGCTACTTTTGACACGCTTCGCTTGCCATTATGTAGCTCTTCCTATCTCCGCGTCTTGCGGATGTAGTATTCCTCTTCCCGCAGCCGCGTCGACTTCCTCCGCAAAATTATCAAAACTAATTTGTAATTACCAGTTGGTACAAACGATCTCGCAATATTTCCACAAAGAGAGTTGGTAAAAGAGGAAGTGGTAATTTTCAATTTTTTTTTTTTCATTTAGCATTTTGTAAAAATGTTGTCGGTGGCCGTTATAGAAATTGAGATAGCGAGGCGTCGAGTGGCATCGAAATGGAGCCAATCGAGCGTGTAATAGCCTCTTGTTGTTCTTAGAGCTAAGGGATTCTTTTCCCTCTGGGGGGTGAAAATTTTTAAATTTCAAAAGTTCGGACACACTGGAGCTCGCCACCGAGATAACAACCTTTTGCTGGCGCGCATAAAGTGAGAAGTGACTTCCTCGCTCCGCTCTTACTCTCTTTCACTTCTTTTACCAGCTACCGTACCGTGGCTTCTTTTCAAATAATCATATCTTGCGAAAATAGTCCGCGTGGTTAAAATCGATTGCCACGCGCGCATCTGAAATTAAAAATGGATGGATTATATTCCGCGCGCATAATTTCACGTCTCACTTAACCGCATCGGCGCGCGGGAGCTATATAATTAGATTCTAAAAACAATTGTTGTACGGAGTGGCGGCATTTTTCAATTGTCTACTGATTCTGCGTAAGAGTATAAATGCGAAAAAGTTAAGATAATGGGGGAAGAATGAAACATAAAAAAGCATAAATACAAAGAGCCATTGGATTCAATTTTACGAGGAGGCTATTCATCATGAGTTCGTTATTACTCTCTTTCCTTTCTTGAACTTTTTTGTCGACTGTAACGTTATTTATGCCTCGACGATTTTTCATTGGGAATTTTTTTCTCAACAATTGCGTTTTGTTTAAACGATTCAATCTTTCTTTTTATGGAAGCTAGAGCGTAATATAAAGTTTCGCGATATCTCATCACTATATACAGACAAAAGAATTGATTTTTGTATCATCATCGCTAAAAGCTTTTTTTTCTAGTATAATCGCAGATATATATGAACTAAATATTACAAAACTATTGATTAATACGATCATCTCTACGAAGTAAGCAAAAAGATTTGATAAAAAAAATGTAATATTGCCGCTCACGAATACATGTTCTTTTTTCTCCTTTCTCTCTTTGTAATTTTACTTCTCGAGAGAACTGATTGAATTTTGAAATACGACTAACACACACGCAAGCTCCGCGCACCATGGCGTTCTTTTCTGCTCTGCTTCTGCAGTACGATATACTGCTCACTGCAAGGCTTTTCGCTGCGTCTTTCTCTGTCTCTCTCTTCATTTCTTTTCCTCGATGCTGCTGCCACTGCTGCTGCGTGTGTCCGATTTATTCTTTTTGTTTGCCGCAACACGCAGTGTGCGACTCGGCGCCCTCTAAATCCTCGGCTTTTTTTCTTATATACTATAATTCTTCCGTTTCTTTCTCTCTTACCCGTTCTCTTTCTTCTACCCACGGCTCTCTGTATACACTTTCTATTTTCATATAAGTACGCACTCCGCGAGTCTCTTCCCTTTCTTCTTCTTCTCCTTCTTTTTTTTCGGGGGGGCTTTCTTTCTTTTTTATATCCTGTATGGCGCCGTCAGAGCTTCATGCGGAAACTATTGATGAACGTTCGAAGCCACGATGAGTTAAGAATCTTACCCCGATAGTATCTCGGCGAAATAAATTTCATTTTTACGTAAAAAAATAAAAGAGTTAAAATGTTTGTTTTATAATACTACAGTTTTTAATGATTTTTTGGTACAAAATTTTAATTAACTATAAAATCACATACATAAACTCGTATTAAACGTCGTCGACGAACAGTCTGCCGAAAACAGAAAAATTGATTGGTCCGCTCTTCTCGGTGTTCAGCTTCTCACGTCCCGGTGGTTTTGAGTTCAAAACCCACATATTGCCACGTATGACAATAAGATCCGAACTGAATATCGTTAATTTCTTCCACTGACCTTCAAGTTGGGACATGATCTGAGCTTCCTCTTTTACAGTGGCTCGTCCGCCATTGATTATCACGACATTTCCATTGACCACGACTGGTTCGGTTTTATTTCCCGCTACTTCGGGCACTTTTGGATTCTTCAACGGTCCAACAACTTTGAGTATGTAGTTTCCGCGATATTGAGTTTCAGCTAGAAATATATATCAGATTGAAATGTTTGCCTAAAGCAATGAGAGTAGAAAAATGCCAAAAGGGCCAAAAACTCACCATTTTCAGCGGCAAAAATACCGTTGCACACGAACAATGCGAAAACGAGCAGAACTGAGCGCATGGCGATAATCATACTTCACGTTATTATCCACCGCAATTAAAATATCCAATGAGCATTTCGCACAAATAAATTACGACTTTTATAAGCGAACATTTTAACGAACGCAATAAACATTATACACAAGATTATATTTTCGAAGTAAACATTTCTCGTCATGATGACATACCCATGAAGATTAGGTTTTAGGCAATGATTCTGTCGGTGTATCAATTTTTGGAAACTTGTTTATTGTTTTTTTTTTGGATACAATAATATGGTACTTTTAATACCACAGTTTGAAAACCATGTTACTTTATGCATTTATGTAACCTTTTGAATTTAGTATAGATAACATTTAATACCCCCCAATTAAATGATAAGTAATATACATCGCAATTTCAAAATTTCCTGATTTAAAATTCGGAAAAAATAAACGGTGATAAATTATAAATGAAATGTATTATCTTTCGAGAAAAAATTCATAAAATCTTACATTGCTCAATGAATCGAAATGTTGCATGTATTTTATACGAGAGAATAATTCGTACCGACAAAATTGTTCACTAATTTACAGTTCAAAGGGAATGAAATAATGCTATTTTTCTGAAACCATAAAATATCTTTCAAGTTATAATCTGATATGCGCACTCGAGGCAAATTTATGATTCATCGATATTCATACGCGAGTCGTACAAATACGCTGTTTCGTATACTTTGTAACATTATAAAAGTGTCAATTGTGAGGTTGTAAAAATATATTGCCCATACACAAGCTATGTTTCATAACGCACTTGCTTTCGACTCGCACAAAAATGAAGAAGAAAAAGATGAAGAAGAAGAAGAAGCAACAAAACGTAGCTCGAATTTATAATTTTTGAATTATGAAAGCATTTTCTACCTGTCTAACGCGAAATGGCGGAGCATCTTTCATTCCGCACAATCAAAAGTTCGCAGAATGTTCGCCGCTGTTTATTTTCTATGTGTTTACATGCAAACATTTCTCATGCGCACAAAGCCGACAGACGGGTTTTCTTATTCGCTCACGCAGTTTTTCGCGAGATTTTTTTCTTTACTCATCTCTTGCCTCTTTTTCATGTCGTAAGTAAATCGCCCTTTTTTCAAAAACAAATCTTTGCTACGCTCTTGCACTCAATTTCCCCCTCTCTTATGCTTTATCAGCGGCAACCCCTTGAATTATTTTTTCCGTTAATTTTCAACATCAGCTACTTGCCCCGAGTAAATAATTAATAATCTTTGATTTAAGATGTTTCGTTTTAAGAATAGACGCGCGCGCGCAGCAAAACAAGTTCTTTATCCCAAAGAGTTTCAAGCCCTCGCTATATCCCGCCAGCTTTACTCTTACGTCAGACTCGAGAGGCTTCATCCTCAGACTTTGATATAGCTATATCCGGTGTCAGGTACGTATATATCGTACTGCACACATACACTCGCGCGCGCGCGCGCACACACACACAGTCGGCGAAGACAGGCGGTATATAGAGCGCGGCGGTCGGTGTACTTTACTTTTAGAGCGTTCGAAGCTTTATCTTTGCTCCAGCCAAGCGAGGCAAAACGAACACCCGGAAGACGCTGAATTGGATATCCCTCCGACCGAGCGAGAAGTACTGCAACCAAGTATGAAATTTTCTCTCCACCAAAAATATATATACAACTGCAGCAGCAGCGGCAACGGCATCAGCAAGAAACTACTTGCATTTATCTCTTTCAGTTCTCTCTTTTTACTCTTTCTCTCTCTCTCTCGACTGTCCTTTCTTCGAGGCTTTGGTAGGAGAACTTTTTGATAATTGAAATAAATTATACGTACAATTTTTTAGTCGCTTTTATGCGCTCACGAGTATACAAATAATAAACAGCAACAATAACGCGAGGGTTCGCCCAAGTTTTTCAAATGCATCGGTGCGTTTCTAGCTATGCTCGGAAAGTGGTGTATTGTTAAATGAGTTAGCTTTCGTAGGGAACGACTGTGTACGATTTAACAGAGGCTTTCTTCGAGTCGATGCATTTAGTTGGAATCATCTGGACGATTCTACATAGAATATATATAGCCGTAAAAAAGGAATCCCTTTCAAAGCTTGATCGCTTCTTTTTTAAATTATTTTTTTGAACTTTAACCTTTGACCTATGCAGCTTGCATTTGAACTGTCTCGACGTAAAAGAGTGCATTAGTTATTGTTCGAATCTCTGGTACAAACCTTGTTAAAAAAGTCGACACTCGCTTGATTTTTATAGACCAACTCCTCACACTCAACGCACTTCAACAAGTTTCACATCGAAAAATCAAAAAAGCGTTTATGCGGCGGTAAATAATTTGAACTTGGTACTTACAACTTTTTTTGTTTCGAGCTTGTGCTAGCTGCACACTTTTCACAACATTATGACACATTCCAGTCGACAACTTGTGTCACTGGCCGTATCAAGTGTGACACGTGTGAAGTGCTGACGCATCTGATTAGTTACTCCGAATACTCTCGGGCCTCCATAAATCATGATCGAATCAGCTCGCTGCAGTGCGAAGCTTCAACGCTTAATAAACGAATAAATTATGATCTTTTAGTTTACACCTTGATTCCGGCTAAATCTACTTGAAAATTGTGCTCGCTCGTGTAGTAGGGTAACCACCTCTAGCGGGGCAACTTCGCTCCGCGGTGTCTTCTTGGAGTTCGAGTCCTTCGGCGCTAATTATGAAAAGTTTTCGAAAACCGCTGAGCGGTATTACCCGGCCTCGGCACCGATTCGTACATAGCCCCGGCTGGAAATTGCGTCCCGGAAGTAATGTATCTCCTTCGAATATCTATATAATTCGATACGCAGCTATATTTTATGTAAAATAATGCTCTTTACCGAAATCAATCAGCCAAGTATCAGTCGAGTTATACATTGTTAATTGGTATTTTCCATTCGAGCTGCTGAGGTCAGCCGAGTATAAAAAGAAAATCGCTTTAGAGTATAAAACTAATTAACTAGAGGGGGACAAACGACGTAGTCTCCTTTAAACGAATTTTATTGTACAATCAATGACTCGCGCTATACGCGGCTCTTCATTAATTTTACATACTTAATGAGCAGAGAGTTACTTTAATGAAAGTCACGTACACTCGGCGAGAAATAGAATTGCGATGCGCGAGAAGAAAATCGTTGGACTCTGCGCTCGTCGTCGTCCCAATTCTCCAAAATTAAGAATTCCGTACCTACGTTATAGTGCTGGTGGCACGCGACCCGCGAAACGCAACTGACTTCGTTAAAACACACAGTTGCGCAGACAAGATTTTTTCTTCGCGTTTCGTTACAAAACTGGGAATCGTGCAAGTTGGAGAAAAAAATCGCATCCTGCAGTTTGATTTTTAACTGCACGAGAAAAAAGACGCACGGTACGCTACGGCGTAAAATGAATTTCATGAAAAAAAAAATTTTTTTATGCTTATCTCAGGGTTACGGCACGATGCAGCTTGAAAAATACATCACAAACGTACACATCGTTATAAAGCACACATAGCCTGGATGTATACACGCGTGCGAGTAGTTTATGTACGCACGTATACACATATACACACGCAAGCAGAGCGCGCCTAACGGGGTGTAAGAGGAGAGGAGTACGGCGCAGGGAGCGCGTCACGATAATGAGTCCTGCCCTCGCGCTCGCGCGTGTACATAACGTATATATAAAATTATATACATTTACTTACTGTACTTGAAGCGTGCGCAGAAGCTCGGTTAACGGAAAAAATTGCGATTTCGTTACAATGCCTATATACGTATCTAATCTCCGTACACGAGCGTATTATGAAGTTCTTTCGAGAGTAAAACGCGATTTTCCGATATGGTGCTGTCGCATTTTCGCGAGAATTGCCGCATTCAATCCCTTCTCGCTCCTCTCTTCCAGCGCTCATTTCGAGAGTAATAATAACGCGCTGACATAATTTGTAAATGACGCTCTTTAATGTGACTTTGATTTTTGCTTATAATATATCATAGATAATGTCAAATTTTGAAAATTCTTCAACGAATTTTCAACATGTAATTGATAAAAGAAAACTACATGAAGGTGGTAAAATATTAATTATAAAAAAATATGGATAAGTGACAAGTCGAATTGAAATTACGCATGTCAAAGAAGATTTCATTCAAAATTTAGTTTTTGTGCTTTTATTTACATTAAGTATCTATGTGTGTGTATGTGTGTTTCAGAATAAACGAGCACACCGAAAGGTCGTTGGTTTACGCCTTTTACAGTTTCGCTTCCACCGCAAGTACGTCAGTCGGCTGGCCCGCAAAGGGTGGCAAGCGAACTCTTAATACGGGTAAGTGGATCTGCATTCATGATACGTCTGCCCTTTTTTTTTATTTCTCTCTCTCTCTCTCCCTCTCAACTTTCCGACAGCTCTCATACACACGCCACATGCTTTGGCCTGGTGCACAAGACCAACAAGTTTTTAGTCATTTAAACTTTGACCGTATTTGAGGAAAAGAGAAAGAGAGCGCAGATAGAGAGAGAGAGAGAGACAGAGAGAAAGGAAAACGACAATTGAAAAAAACTTGCACCGGTGTAGGAACCAATGATGCTCACTGCTGCCACCGAGCGCTGTTTTTTAATCTTATTGAAACTTTTAGGAAGATACTTTAGGGAAATACTATTTCTCTCGAGTTAATAAATTCATTTATTATAAGGTAAATTATTTCAAGTTTGTTTTCAATTTCGTACAGTTGCGATTCCGCATTCTGACAAGTTTTTTAATTTTCTTTTTCGGGATTTCATAAAAAAATAATTATATAAGAACTATTTTTCAAAACAAAGTAATTCTTGTTGCGTTAAAAGTACTTTTACGCTCTTGATTTTCCGACAAAAAGCTTTGGAATCTAATCGATTGTGTATCTTACCATGAGCGAGGTCTTATCGCTGATAGTTCTTCTATTATTTCCTACACGAATAGTTGTTCTTGCTCGGATATCTCAATCGGTCTTTGTCTTTTCTCGGACGTCCAGTTTTCCTTTTTTCCTTATTTCTGCTTCCTTCTAGCTTATTTAATCCATTTCAATTTTTTCTTACAATAAAGTTCGAGCTTATTTTTTTTCTACTCCGTCCAACTGAACTGCGCACGTAAGCGCGCGCGTATGTTATTTTAATGGACAAATAATTTTCTTGTATTCGGAATATGTTACTCGACCGACTAGAACAATAAATCCGCGCGCGCGCTGTGTTTCGTTTTGAGTAGAAACCGCAAACGCATATACGACAATGCTTCGCCGTCCTCCCTTCTCCCTTTCTTTCCCGGCTTTTCTATCCCAAAGCCGTAAAACTCAATTACGAATTCAACGGATCTTTCTCTCTCTCTCCCTCTTTCTGGACCTTTCCCAAAATTCGCGTCGTCCCTGCACGCGCGCGCACTCGCGAGAGCGCGAATACCTATGTACGAAACTTGTTTACCACGAGTCGAAAAAATTCCCCGACGTCTAAATCAAAAAGTTGCGAAAAGCACTCTTTTCATGCGATCGAATTTCTCCTTGCTGCTCACTTTTTCTCTCTCTTTCGCGCTCTTACGCTGCAATCTATTTATACGTATATTGCTCGATTCGGCGAGTTTTTTTTTTATTAAACAACATTATTTTTTTCATAAATATTTAGATAGATTTCAATTTAAGTTTCGCAGAGCTTTCAGTGTCAATTGAAAAATCTTTCGAATATTTTCTCGACATTTTCTTGACATTTCGAGCAAAAACTTTAATAATGCTTTTTGTGCATAAATACACATAGCCGACGTATATGTTGGCTCAGTGTGTTATGCGAGGAACGTTGAAATTTGCACGATTAGTCAGTTCAAATTTTCCTTCGGATAAGTCTATAGTTTGAGCGAATACATAAACGCAAGGGGCATATCTATATGGTGGAAAGTCAAGCATAAGCTGTGTGTGGAGAGAAATTCTCGTAATAACCATTTAAGCGTCTGAGGCTTGAGTGTTAACAATGTGTGAATCAGTATCCTCTTCTCCGGAAAGGCTGATATAGCAAATTTCGCCCTGCACATTGCTGACGCTCGTAATATCTTGCGCATAATAAGCGAAATTGTTCGAAAGTTTTTTCCAAGATTCAATATTAACCTTGTGAGAGTAAGCCATATATATTATTACGAAGCTTGGTTATGAAACAACAATAATCGGACAAAACACGTGCCTCGTGAAATTAAAGTTACAATTTTGAAAAATTCATCCACTATTCAATTGTATTCTCTTTTGCGATCTAGGCGTTACGTCATTTCACAATTTTCGTATTTGTTTCGTACGAATACGGATCTGAATTTCTAGGACACTTTACGATTCGTCGCAACGAATGAATAAAGGCACCAGACCAAAATTGTACGACGGTGTATACATTATGACGAGCTCATGCGACGCAAAATAAACAGCACTGAATGCAAACCAAGTCAGGCTCTATTATCTCGCCATTGTATGACTCCACATGTGCTAGAGACGTTAAGGGATCCGTATAAACGTGACTTTGTCTGTTGTTCTGGCAAATAATGAGAAAACTTCGTTTTTCTTTCCTCGAGCCTCTCTGCAGTCCAATTCTCGATGTTAGATTCACTCCTTTCAAATTGGTATGCTCTAGATTCAACACTAACTCAAATTTGTGTTGCTACTTGACCGTTGCGATTCGTTTACCTCGTAAGAAATATTTGTTGATAGTTATTAGTTACGTTTTTTTTCAATACATCTGTATACATGTTCAAATGAAATGATTAATTTTCAGCGTCAAGGTCAACGTGCTCTGATGATAAATGCAAATTTTCGCGACAAAAAGTTGCACCACAAGAGCCTGTAGCTGGTACGTATATTAATTCAATGTTTACCCGATAAAATGCTAATAAATTTATTTTTCATTATTACAGATTGTGATTGGGTCTATGAGGAGAGCAATTGTCGGAGAAATTGCGTTCTAGCCAGTCCTGGGTATCCTGGATTATATCCGCCAAATTCAAAGTGTCGTTATCTTATCACCTCAAACTCTACTGTCACGATCAACCTTTCCTTTACTACAGTTCTAATGCCTGCTAAGTAAGTAAAGTTTATTGTTATTTATTCCATAAACAATACTTGAAATTCCATTTGCTTATCTTGATAGTTCAACTAGTTACTTCGAAACAATTTGACAATATGTTTCCACACCACGCCCTAGCATAATGTAACGTACCTGATCCTGGTAGAAATGTTTTATTCGCATAATAAGCAAAAAAGGACTATTTAAAATATTTTAAAATACATAATTATATATCGGACGATTTTTTTCTTAGAATTATGTTAAACATATTAAGTAGATTTTAAATGACCTAAAAAGGACTACTTATCTGTTTTCAAATATTTAGATCAATTTTCAACCTCTTTCAAAAATTCACTTTCAATCTCGACCACTAGATGGCGAGTACCTTTATCTGTCAATTGCCAGTGGAAAAGTAGTTTAGTTTTATTAAAGCAATACGGGTTATATTTATTATAGAAAGCCATTCGATCAATTTATCAAAAGAAAAGTGGATATTTTTACAAAAAGTTTTTTTGCGGTTAAATAAAAAATTGATCTTTTATTATACATACAATCAATACTGGGCGATACCTTGTTATGTCAGTAGTTCACCAAGAAAAGAATATCGACTACAATTATCTTCTTTGAAAAACGACATAATTTCGCGTTTTAATTTACGAATACACCACGCAATAAGGTAGAGATGAGGGTCGGAAGCAAATTACGCCCCATCCATACAAACATCTAGATTACATCATGATCCACTTACATGCTGCTGCGCATATAGCGTAAGCGTCGGCATTCCTCGCGCTTTCACGAATTTATACATACAGTATGAATAACGCATCCGCACAATCGCATGCAGATATTCATTTATACAGCATGTATACATTTTCAATCCCGATTTGCATGTAGCACATTATGTACGCGCTGACGAGAGAAACGCTCGAAGAACTTATATCATCGCTCGCGTTACCCCCAAGTTTCCACGGCGGATTTGAGTTATTGCACGTATATTTTGCTCGAGTACTGCCAGCATCGTGCTTGCGCATTTGAATACCGTTGTGTAAGTGTGAGAGAGAGCAGGATGGAGAGCGAAAAATTGAAAGTACCTTATATCCTAATATTACATACATTTTTTCGTTACTGTGTATTTATGCGGTGTTATTAGCTGCCTATTCGCTAATTGGCTTGAAAATTGATGAGACTAGAATTGAAGTTCGGGAAAACATTTGTTTTGCCGAATACGAAATCCCGGTAAATTTCACAATTCATTTGTTGGGGGATGCGTTTGATCACGTGCGTTATTACGGTAATTACACTGCTGAGAATTGTGGGTTTGAAAGTTTGCAAGTAAAATCCTATATTGAGATTACTGAAATTAACTGCTTCTGGAGGAAAAATAGGATCTAAATCTTCTATTATCACAGAGCAAGGTTTTAAGTTGTAGTCGATCGAAGCCTTGATTCTAATTGTGGTTCCGTTCGTATCTATTGGCACCGTACCTTTAATCGTACCGAAAAAGGTTTGTACCTGAAAATTAATGTACGTTATGAAATCATCATTCTCCTGCAAACTTTAATTTAAATTATAAATTTAAAAGTTTTTGAGAGCTCACTTGTAAGTCATTTAATTCTATATTGCCTCCTGTCACTTTGAAAGAAGTTTCGATTGAGTATCGACTTTGGTGGTACGAAAATACTAAATCACCCGTTCGTTCAATATATTTTAAAACGCTAAAATTGAAAAAAAAGACGTTGATTTCGAGAACAGTTTCAATGAATAGTTTTAAAAATTAGATGCTTACTCAATCTTAGTTTCGCCAACCGATATTGTAAATAGAGACCCGTGATTTTCTATGGTTGGCAATAATAAAACTGATTTTTCAGCTTTTACCAATCCTGATACCATCATTTCAAGAAATTGATCTGCTATCGAATTGATGGTTTCCTTGAAAAAACAATAATACGTTTAATATTTACTGGAATACTAACATTAGAATTACAATTTTTTTTCTTACTTGAGACGTTATGTTTCTCTTTCTAGAATCTCCCATTATCAAAACATTATCTCCTATGTTATGAAACGGCGGTGTTAATTCACATAACGCTGTTCGAATGCATTCTTCAGCATGTTCCATAATAATTTTTTCTGCACTTCTTTGTAAAGCCATCCTTGCAATTGACATATTATTTGTAGAAATTTTTATTATTGAACATTTTAATGAAAAAATTTTTATTACCTTCTATCTGAATCATGGGAAAAACTCACGATACATTTGTTGGTCTTTTTTTCACGGTAGTTTTCATAACTGTATGACTTTAAGAAATATGGAATTTTAATAAAATAAAACTTTTTCATTTTTTATTGACTTTTAGTGTACTTACAACCACGCGCTGGACACGAATTTTTCCTAACAAATTGAATCTTGTATCAATTCGAGTTATTAATCCATTTCTGTATGAAATGAACCCTAAAAATCAATAATTAATTGCTCATTCTGTTGCTAATGAGAATCTAAGAACTAATCAATATTGTTATCTAAAAAGTTTATACTTCTAACGAAAAAAAACATTACTCACCTAAAAAGTTCATGCTTCTTACAATAAAAACATCTTCCGAATAATTGGAATCTAATTCAACATTTACAAAACCTTCAATTGCACTTTGCTTCAAATCTTCATCTATGTAATGTACTCTTGAACCTAACCAGCACTTTTCTAAACAAAAATTAGAATTTATAGTTATAGTTTAAGTTTATATAAGAATAAATGGATACATACCTATTGTAAAAGAAAAAACTGATGGTAATAAAATTAAGAACAAAACTATTGCTTGCCAGCAAAGAATACTTTTACCAAAAGTATTCATGGCGGAAATTTTGTTGAACACTAGGAAGTTTTTAAGTCGAGCTATTAGATTTTTCGTTATATTCCAAGAGACATAAGACACTTGGTAACCGTATGGCAGCAGACTCACAATGGAATCTTGGAAGAAACTAACAGGTTGATTTTTCAAGGCCAATACATGATAAAAAAAACTATGCGTATCTTATCTCACGGAGAGGACATATCTCTCAAGAGTGTTCAAAATTTGTGACCCATAGTAGAAAGACACGCCTTTTCTAAGGCCAGATCGAGTTTGTAACTTACTTCAGAATGCCAGCTATATTTATTGGGATATCTAGTTTTCTATCACTTGTTCATAAAAGCATTGATAAGTTCTGTTGGAAAATAACAAAATCGAAAATGTATAGAATAAGTTTTTTAATTAATTAATTTTATTATAAAAATGTATACCTATCGCTTACAATAATCATATTTTACACTAACTATAAATTTACACGTTATTTAAATTTTTTTATTATTTATATTATAAATTATATTGACTTATAACATTGTCGAAAGCTTGTCAACGTACTCCTGACAGTCAAAAGTATAATTCTTGGCTATGCTATTGACATAAACTAGCAGGAAGTTTTCAATGCGATTAATGCTATCTGAATTCAAATTCAAGCGTACTGCAAATAAATTCATTACGGGTACATCAACTTGGATATTTTTGAATCCTAAGATCGTAAAACTTTGCAAAGTGACAGCACACGATGATGGCTGCAAATTGATCTTCAAATTAGCTAAAAATGAGAGTTGTTCTATTTTCGCTTTGATGTTACCACCAGCCCGGATAATGCCCCAACGTATCTGAGAAATGAACGGTTAATTAGAGATTTTACAAATTTCATGTAATTTTGAAATTCTTCTTTATGCTTACATAAGCTTGGAATAAATTCAGTCTCAAATCTTCAAATCTAAAGCCAAGCTCGATATCATATTCATTGCCGTTTTTCTCTATTAAAATATCTCGCGTTCTCTGAATGAAATTAAGTCCTCTGCAAGTGAAGAGTAAATGTTTATTTTGCCAGCCCTTCAGTAGGGTGGCTATGAATAATTTCTCGTTACGATACTTACGACACATAGCCGCCTTTTTGAGAGACATGGTATCTATTAACTTTCATATCCATCGGCATTATTCGCACACCTCCTTTGTCGTCGATAAATCCGTTCAAAGCTCTCATTACGGCAAAATCTACAAATGCATTCAGCACCGACTGCGAATCAAATAATTGAGTTTATTCCATGATATATTTCAATTACGTGAGCTCTTTTATGCCTTTTATAGTTCTATACTTACTTGGGTACTTTGATATGACAAATCTCCATCTTTATCTACTTCATTCAAATCGATTCGGCAAACGTGAGATTGAATACATGATTCTGCGAGCCTTAAAATAGCACTCTCATGTACAGGGTTGATGTCAGACCTGTATTCAACATTACATTAGAATATAGAATTTTCTGTCAAAGTAAACTTATTTAATTGAAGTACAAATATTCACCCTCTACTTTTATTCTCTAAAAACGTAATCTTGCAGTTTCCATTCTGAAAATCAATAAAGGGTCATTTTAAGGGAAATGTCTACTGAATTTTCGATTCAATATGGCAAATTATACGAACTGGTTTATAATTGTAGCGATAACCTGTCAGGCTATGGAGATTTACAGAGTCATATGCATGGTCAGACCCGTCTCTAATTGTTCCTATTACACAAAAATATTATTGTAAATTTAAATTAAATTCATCACTTTTGTCATATTACGGGATGAAAATGTTTGAACCTTGAAAAAAGATCTCGTTGATGAAATTTATGCGTTCGCCAAAAGCACTCGTTACTTGACTAAAATTGTCCCCAGATCCTATTATGCTAAGAGTAGCTGCGGTGAACTGAAGAAATTCATGATTTCCATATTCCCAAATCACTGTATTATTAGGACTAATGCTACCTGTAAAAATTATCGATTATATATTGATTTCATTTTTTAATTATAAACTTTTACTTACTGTTATTGTAGACACATGTAAATCCCGCTGCGAAATAAGGCAATATAGCCAAAATCACTCCAAAAGACAACAACATATTTTAATTTGTTTAAAAAAATCTAAATTATAATGATTTTAAAACAGAGCTGATGCATAGAAG